TCAGGCTCTTCCTGACTGATATAAATATTCTGAGGTCTAAGCATCTGATACCCCTTTTGATCAACTCGTATACTTTGTTCTGAGAATTACTGCACGTGAAAATAGGAAAAGATGTGATGAAAGCTCTTAGTCAAGGTGGTAGATTTGTAAAAAAAAAAAAAAAAAAAAAGAAAAAAAGAAATTACACAATTATCCCCATTTATGTCCCTAACTACAATCTGATTTTTATTTAACTTAAAAAAAAGTATCAAGTATCAAGTTAATGTGATAATATGAAGTTAATATGAAGATGCTCTTAATTTTTTATTAATTTCATGTATTAGAGAGAGGGAAAGTAATTTCCGTAATTTTATATCTTTGCAATTCTGATTTTTTCCAGTCTCTGGAATGAAGTCACATTTTGAGCCTCGAGGGCAACCAATAATGTTGAGTCTGGAGCTGTCATTTTAGAATATTTATTTTCAGCATAAATTGTTTGCAAGGTGATATGAATCAAATGCAATGTAAAGTCAATAAGCACCAGGAGACAAAAAGGTGCTGTTAAAGTTTCATAAGAAAGGCCAATCCCTGATGAGAATAACTCAGGAACATACGTTGCGTTTCATTTAGTTCTGAAGTTAGAACTCTGATCTGGAAATGACATCAAACCCACCTTCCTTCTCTTCCTTAAGTCTATAAACCAGTTGGATTTGTTAATTTATATGCAGTCATGGTGCTTACCTAGAGGTGGTGCAAGTTCTTTACTGGTTCCATAAAAGAACCGGTTTGATTTCCAACTAATAGAGAATTGACTTGGAGCCAAGTCAATACGACATTTTTCTTATCAAGTGAACATTTGGTCCAGGTTTCAGAAAAGTTCACGAAAGGAGGCAGTCCATCACCGTGTTCATATTAGATTCCATCAGACACTAATAATCAAAGGTGAAAATGAATGCTGCTCACACTATGCCTTAAATGCAAAGCAGACATACTGGATGTTGAAGATCATGACAGACTTACATTTTGATGTTTATGGATAGGATTGTTCTTTCATCCAACTTGAAAAGTAAAAATAAAATACTTTAGTTCAACCAATCATATTGTGCAACTAATTGTGTTTTTCCCCCACTATTTGGTTTTTACAGCACAGCACATTTGTATGCATGGTAACACTTGTTGGAAAACAACAAGTATTTTTCTCCTACTCTCCTTTTAGTCTTGTCGGGAAGTGGGGTTAGATGACCCAAATATTATAATTATTATTATATATATTTTTTTTACCAGCAGGCAATTGCTTAATGTTATTTTGGTTTATCGGTTATGAGCTGGTCAATTCATAACTGCCAACTAGTGCGGATGGAGAATAATGGATCAAACTAAAAAAAAAAAAAAAAACAGTGCCATTGCAATGGGTAAGTACATGAGTAAGAACAATTATGGGTATGAACCAAAGTAGGGTGGAACAAAAATAGGGTGAACTGACTGAGGCCAGGTAGAGTCCCGGCTCATAATCAGTCACCAAAACATGCAAGCTGGGAAGCCACTCAAATAATTTCCACCATGAAGTTTGAAGTTAAGAAATATACAGTGCAAGTCCAAAGTACATTTTTAATGGAAATGTGTAAAGATGAACAAAATGCCCTTGAGTAAACACGTTAAACTACTTTCCACTATTCTCGGTCAATTTATCCTTTTGCCATTTGACACCCACAAGTTTCAGTTTCATTTCATACTTGTGTACTCAAACCATTAAACTCTTGAGAGGTGGTGCCCAACTCCATTTCTTAATACTGCCCTGCAAATGTTAGATGCATCCTTTCTCACCTGACTCAAATGGTACATCATGCAGCTCTGCAGAGGGCTGTTAAGGAGTCGTTCATTTGATTCAGGTGTGTTGGAGAGGACATGAATCTAAATGCTGCGGGACGCTTATTCTCGAGGACTGAACATTTGAAATATTCAACTCAACACACCTGATTTCAACGAATACAGATTGTTTTTGTTAAATCCTGAAAGTAAATGACAAGAGGCTTAAATCTCAACTCTTATCCCCATTTAAACCAGTTCATTCTTACTGATTTCCAGTTTTTGTTGAAGCTTGATCTCCCTATCCTCATTTCTCATCTCATTCCCGTTTTTTTTTTTTTTTTTTTACTTTGATATATGAAGAAAAAAACAGCTCTGTAAAATCTTTGATTAATAAGCTGTGTTAAATCCAGCTGAAAACTAATTCCAATAATTTCTCCATCTATCCATTAAGGACATATCCAGATGCTGTCAGATGAAGTTTTTATTGATGCAAGAAGAGTCCTGTAATTTGATAAAAACAAAACAAAATATATATTAAAAGAAGTGCAAAAATAATTTGTCTATATTTAACCTCAGAATCACTGATCAAAGTTGATCAAGAAGAAATAGTCTAGTTCCAATCTCTCCCTGTTGAGTGGTTTCTTCTCCTGAATAACATCATTATGCTACATAAAGCAATGTAGCATTTGTTATTAATGGCAGTTACTGAACTACAAAGTAAGCTTTCACAATATTAATCTATTATTTTAGCGAGCCGTTGCAGATTGAAAATGATTTTTGCAAGTCTAAAGTATATCTAAAAATTTGACATTCTGATACTAGTTTGTTTCTGCAAGAGTCGATGCAAATAAAGTTTTACCAAAGATGCACTGACCAAGGTTTTCCTGATTGATGCCAATTTCTGTTTTGAATAATCAACTCAACAAACATTTAAGGACTGAAAATTTAAAAATAGAAAAGGAAACTAAGGATTAAGTTCACAGGAAATTATCACTCATTCATTACTCATTGTAAGTCATGAAGGGATGAGAGCAATCAGTTTTTTTTTTTATCTCAAACATGAATAAACATCATTTGAAATCAAAGTCTAAAGTAAAATTAATAGAAATATTAAACTCATTGAATTATTATATAATTTAAACTAACTAGGCTTTTCTTGACCAACACGATTTTTCAATTTTAACAATCTATGGTATAAGTCTAAAGTAGACCTAAGAAATCCTCATAATAATACATTAGAACCTCCGAGATTGAAAGCACCAATTGGGGCATTTTTAAAAAAATTATTTAAAAGTGATTGAAATTTTAGGGGAAGATGATATTAGGTTATATATTTTATTCAAGAAATACAAAAAAAAATACATATACGATCAATTAAATCACATAGGGAAATACTTAACTAATTACTAATGAGCAAGTCGTTTTTATTGGTGCTATTTGGGGAGTGGACACAAACAGGAACACCTTACAGATTAGTACACTGGTGGGTTATCCTCCATTGAGCAATAAAACGTGGCCGTGGCTATTTGAGCCTGCTAACTCGGTTACAGCCGTGTTAAATCGGACATTTAAACTTTATGCGCCGCAAAAGAGAGTTAGAAATCCCCATCTGAGCAGAACCCCGGCTCACTGGGTGTGCCGACAGCAGATGAAGACTGTTTATGTGTGTCCTCCGAGCAGCCCCAGCGCCGCTCAACAGATGTGGAAACTTTCCCATCCGTTTTAAACGCCTTTCTGGGGCTTTTCTGTCCCAGTCGAACGCCTCGCTTCCTCCCTCACAAAGTTACCAGCCGTAAAGCAGCACAAAGTCGGGTTACCTTTGATTACATTGCTGTAGATCGTTCCTTTGAAATCCTCTCGGGCTTGCTGGTCGAAGTCCTGGCCGTGGATGATTCGCATTTGTTTGAGGAAAGTCGACTTGCCGCTCTCGCCAGCGCCCAGCAGCAGGATCTTCACCAGCCGCTTCACGTGCGTTTTCTCCCGGGACAGACTCCTGTCGATCTCCCGGGACTTTCGAATCTGGTCCGCCTCGCCGGCATTAAGCAGGCAGGTGGGCAAACAAACTTTTAACATAGACCTGGACGGCAGGAAATCCGCCATGTTCGCACTAACTTCATCGATGCTAATTTGATGCGCGTTCTCGCGAGGCGCGAGCACAGGACCAAGCCCCTTCCCTAAACTCAGGAAGTAACCGCTCCTGCTATCAAGCTGAGAGCGCGCTTCGTTATGACATCAGGAAACTGCAGCTTCACATTTAAAACGTCTGGTCGTATTTTCAAAATATTTATAAAAACCATAGGAACACTCTACAAATAATTTAATGCTCTGAATAATCAGAAAACGTTCAATAAATCAATGTTTTCAAACGATACAATACCACTCTCTGCTGGATTATGTTAGAAATTGCGGCTTATGGTTTCCGTGTAAAAGGACGCATGATTCTGATTGGTTGATTCATTTTTCCTTTTACATCGGTGTGTTCAAGTGCGGTAGGCTTTCTGAGCACTAGCATTGCTGTCTTGTGAAGTCTTTGACCTCCCATGAGCATGTTGGTAAAACTGCAGTGTCGTTGACATGTTGTGAGTGGCAGTTTATTGACTTTATAATATTATATACAAACAAAGACACCTCTTTCGTTATTTATTGGTCCCTGCTTTCGCTCTAGATTGAGTAACATCATAACCTTTTGCAATATTTTTCTTAGTTATTATTAGATATTTCTGAAGAATATTTATACTAGATTTGTTGAAACATTTTTCATAAATAGTTGACAATTAATGTAACAGGTTGGGACAAATGAAACACAAGTAACTCCTTGGATATTGCATCTTTAATTATAAATTAAGTAAAACCTCTCTACATTTTGAATAGGAATAATTACAATATAGAGAAAACACAGGACGATAAAGCAACCAATCGAGTGGAGTATCTTATCTCTAAAAACAATTGGAAAAGCACAAAAGCAGAAGATGCTTTTAAAACGTCTCTTTTATTCTGGCAAATTTGATTTTAAACACGTAGAAGTTGTTTGCATTATTAAAAATTCAACGTTAAGACAACGTAACATAAAATATGAATTGCATTTGCAGTTCATATTTCCCCATGTATAAAAATAAAAAATACTCATTACAATACGTTCATTAAAGTGGGCCAAACAAAGATGATACTAGATGTCTATTTCTAGGCAAACAAGCGCTGTGGTGAGGCACTTGAACGCATCACCAGCATCGATTACATCGATTCCCCTCATACCGCACGGAGCTCACTGGCAACAACAGCATTAGATTCAGGAGCGTGTGTGAGTGGAAATAAAAAAAAAAAAAAAGATGACCATTAGAAACGCTCTTCGGGATCATGGACAGAGATATCGACCTCGGATGGCTTGTCTCAAGAAGGTAGGCTTTCCTTTTTTTTATTAGACATCATGGAAATCACAGCTCTGCCCTGGCTATGACAGCACACCTGCAGATTTTCCATTACAAACAATCTAATCACCGGACTCTGATGGCCTCATCTAACCTCAGACATCCTTCTGTTGATTTGTTCCTATATCACGTAAAATGTCCAACCTCCCTTCAGTGTGTGAAATGACGCAAAAACAAGTTATGTGGGTGCTTATAAAGCCAAAACATTCTAACAATCAAAAATAATGAAAATGTATTACATGCTACATCCATTCAGTTTTATTTATGAATTTGAATAAGCTGAAATTTCAAATACTCTGGTGAATAGAATAATTCGCCAGATTATATTTTCCCTTGATACATTTGATCAATACTTGTAGTTTTCTATCTTGTTTTAACCTTTTCCCAATGATAAGGTCATTCAGTTTAATGAGCATTAAGTATGGATCAGTATAAGTGCTCCCTGGTATAGAGAGCTGCTACTGGAAAGAACTTAATCCAGGAGCTGTACTTGAAAGCAACATCCTGGTCCTCTGGCCTGAGGTCCCGTTCATAAACTATTTACACCTAAATTGTAAAACATAAGTGTTTCTGTGTGTTTTATTGGATTATGTGATAGACTAACACAACCTAATGTCAGCTTGTTTTGTGAAAGCAAAATTACACATTTGAAAAGCTTTTTAAATACACATATGAGAAGTGTGGCATGCATATTTATTCAGCCCCATATCCTGATACGTATGAGTAAATATAAAATCAGCATAAAAAACTAAGATGACCCATGGTAACTCTGGAGAAGCTGCATAGAGCCATAGCTCAAGAGGTAGATTCAGCTGAAAGGACAACTATTTTTGGAAACTTTACAAATCTGGTAAAGTCTGCAGTGTCGTTGACACAATTGCTGTCTTCAATTGTGGCAAGAAGATATCAATTGTTTATAACTATAACTGCTCCTGAACACATCACCACAGCAACATCCTGTAGGAACGCTTTTCTATCACAGTGAATGGGAAGCTGGCCAATGTTAAGATCTAAATCCAAATAAATAGTAATAAAAAAAAGATATTCAAATACATTCCCTATTCACTCTGAGCTTAAGTTAGTTAAAAAAAAGTAAAAATATATAGCTATATATTTTTAGATACTTCCAAAAAGGTCTTTATAAAGAACAACAATCCTTCCTCTTCACAATATCATGCATTACTTTGTGTTGGACTATGGCATTAAATTCCTCCTTATTAAAAAGTGTAGCCCATTTCATTTGAAAATGTAGATTCAGGTTTTCTAGTGTTTAATATTTATCACAAGAAAGCAAAACGTTGAGGAAATAGAAATAGCAGGTAATTGCAGGTAATTTGTTTAGGTGTATTGTAGATGCAGCACCCCTCTCTCCTGGGGAATGTGCACAAAATAACTTAGAGTCCGAGTCCATGAAAGCCCACTTTGGTTGGGCCCAGCTTCAGGCTTATAGCCTCTCCAGGATGACTTCAAAGCACAATGCCACTTCAAACAGACCTGAGAGTCAGCTGAACTGCTTGCTCTCACTCTGTCTCTCCCTCATACACACACACACACACACACACACACACGCACGCACGCACGCACACACACCCCCCCACACACACACACGCACGCACACACGCACGCACGCACGCACACCTTTATGTGCAGGATTTCTTGTTTTCCGGTACGCACACCCGAGCTGCTGAGCGTATTGGGAGCCAAGGGATCAGTTAGGATATCGGAAATTCTGTTTGGGAAGAGGATGACTCATTGAACGCACCCACACAAAAGCCAAAGTAAAGCCATGAGATCTAGGCACGGTGTGTCACCTCTTCGCAATTACTAGTGAAGCTTCAATGTTTTTGGGTAAGACACTGAACAGTTGTCCTGTAATACTTCATAAATTACAACAGGTGTGTCACTAAAGTATTAGTGGAAGCCATTGTAGATGGTTAAATCTTTCATAAATGTGGTTTACAACAGCTCTGAGTGGCTGAAATGACACTATCGAAAAACCAGCAGCATTTGTTATTAATTTTGTCTTGTTGTTATCACAAACTTTGATGTAGTTTATTGGTATTTTACATAATAGTCCAACATAAAATATTGCTGAATTGTGAAGTGGTATGAAAGTGAATCATGATGGGTTAGGTGCTTTTTGTTGTTGTTTTTTTTCTTACAAAAAACAACAACAGCATGCCTTTGCATTAAGCAGACCAATTCAAGAGTTTGAAAAAACATCACCTTCAATTGCAACTTTAACTCTTTTTGTATACATCTCTATCAGCTTTTCACATCAAGATTAAGATTTGATGAAGATATTTGTGAACATCAATTGTAAAGTCTTATCTCATATTCTCTATTGGATTTAGAAATGGGCTTTGACTGGGCCAAACCAAAACCTAAATTGTAGGACTTCTATATTTGTGGTTGTAGCTTTTAACATGCTTTCTTCCAGGATTGTTGGAAGTGTAAAGACCTGTCGTATTCACATACGAGTTTACACATGTATGTGAATGTGTAAACTCAAGAGTGCAACTTCTTGTGTTTAATTTTATTTAGGGGTGTCAGAGCAAAGGGTACCAATGCATACATGTTACCACACTAACCAGATTTCCATTACTTTAAAAGCCATGTATGCCTTCTGCTCTGCAGTTGATCTGTGAGATAAAATCCTAATGATATTCACTGATGATTGTGGTTGTAACATGGCAAAATGTGAAAAAAATCTGAATTGGATTTCATTGAAAAATGTCCAGTGTTTTCTCTTCAGGCGGAGTGGTTTCCTCCTCTTCTTTTCTCATCTCACTCATCTCTCACCACGTTATTTTACAGGCAGAGAAGGTGCTGTTGGAGATGCAGGACCCCTGCACAGGAGTGAAGTCGCAGCCTCAGAGACTCGTTATCACCATCATACCCCATGCTATCACTGGTAAAATAACAAAACAAAACATAACAATAGAATCCTCCCACATAAGCACAAAAACAGATCAACGCACACGCACAGAAATGCACACTCAATGTAGTCATTCAGCGGCCGCCTCTCTGATTGTGGCTGTGTAGTGTCTCTGAGGGATACCGGAGCTATGTATGGGCTCGAGAGCTACAGATTTTATTTCCATGACAACAACCATGGCTGTCTCAGACTGAGTTGGAGGGGGAAAAGTAGGAGGTGAAAGAAGATGATTGAGCAGGCAAGAGGAAATAAGGAAGAGGGAGACAAAAGTAAAGATTCCTGTCTTGACTTCTCCATCATTTCTTAGCTTTGAATTCCAGCAGAAAACTGACTAAAATTGAACATGCTGAGGAATTTACTTCTTCTTTTGCATATCTTTGCATCCCTCTTTGGCACCCTTTTCTGCAACCATTTCCTGTCTCTTAACTTCATCTTTGTTCTTTCATAGTGCTGATTTTTTTCCCTTAACCTTTAGAAACTTTTGTCCTCCTCTGCAGGTGAAGATATAATTGCATGGTTAGCTGACAGATTTCAAATAGATGCCCAAGGTAAGACATGAGTCATCCAGTCTCATCCAAATGGATGCCAGTTGTTGAAATGATTTGTTGTTATTTGTAAAGCTTTAGACCTATTACAGCGGTAATTTTTTAACCTCTCCACCTGCTGTCTCTAGAGGCCAGAAGCTTTGGGTCCATGCTGGTGGCCTTGGGATACATCTACCCGTTGCAGGATCACAAACGTTTAGTGATCAAACCAGACGCTTCCCTCTATCGCTTCCAGGTGAACACATCCTGCATTTCAGGTGGTTTACGGTTAGAAATCCAAAACGTAAACCCAAACAAGCTAGAATACTGATACCAAAAGAATCATTCCCCATTTTTACCACTGAATTGACACCTCCCTTATGTCAATTTCTCCTCTGAAAAGTTTCTGCAAGCATTTCTGAAACTTTTGTTTCTTGAATCTGAAATAATTTGGCTGAACTTTAACTTGGTTCTTTGGTGTTTCAGACGCCATATTTCTGGCCCACTCAACAGTGGCCTGTTGAGGATACAGATTATGGTGAGAATGACGCAGAGTTGTTACTTACAGTTCCTCTCATGTCATGTTACCAACAGTCTACTAATTTATTACGTGTGTTCAAATCCTGAAGCAATCTATCTAGCAAAAAGAAACATCCGGAAGAAAGGAATCCTGGAGCTGCATGAGCAGGCAAGGAATCTGTATGAAGAATGACAGGGTTCACTTGGAGGAAGGGAAAAAACAACCCTGAATGTTTTTAGTGGATTTTTCTTCTTTTCCATTACAGAAGAAAGGAAATATTGAGAGTAACATAAAAATTATGTTTTGGAGGAGCTGCTATGCTCTTTCCAAACAGTATGCATTTACAGGAAGTTTTATTTGCTAAAAAGGAAATAATCTTTTTGTTTTTAAATCTTTAATCTTTTATACTTTACGTAACTTTTATACATAAGGTATAAAAGTTACTCTCCACTTCACACAAGACAGCTGTCACAAGTGTTTGTTTCAGTTCTCTGCACCGTTATCATTTTGACTTTGTTGTCAAAAAATGTAAGCAGCAAAACAAATGCCTCTTCCTTATACATATTTCTCCAAGTGAGCCTAATACTCTGTCATAGAGACGCAGATTAATGCCAGATCAAATCCTTCTTTTTAAATGTGTTTACTGTGCTGGTATTTAATGTGCCTCAGGAGCAGTACAACCATCTTCACAAGTGGATGAACCACAAGTGGGACTTCGTAGTAATGCAAGCTAAAGAACAGTATAGGTAGGCAGGAAAGAAACTCAGCAACATCCCAGGTTTTGTTGTGAAGAAGGTGTTACGATTGTGTTTGTGTGTTCTTTTACTTTCAGAGCAGCAAAAGAGAGGAAGAAACCGGACCGAGTGGTGTTTGACTGCCAGGAAAGAGCCTACTGGGTTGTACACAGACCTCCGGTTAGAAAACATTCACACAAGCTTTAACTATACACATGTAGTTTTGATTTAACCCCAGCAAATGAACACAAAACCTTTTTGGAAGGAGCTTTGTCCTCATAGTACAAGCATTTAGCAGATTTTAGCCCCCAAATCGGCGCATAACATTTGCCCCTTAGATATTTTATATATTTTTTTTATGACATGTGTAGGATCAAAACAAACAATTGCATTTTAATATTGGACTAATATAGCCTGATTAAATAAATAAATGAAAATGCAGACCTGCAGGAGATAATTTGATCTATTAATTAAATCTAATAACTGGTTGTGTCTCCCACTTTTATGCAGAATTATTTTAAGACACAACAGAGGGTTTTTGAGCACTACTTTTAATGGTCATGTAAGACAAGATCAAACTCTGACTACACCTCTTCAAAAAGCCTACAATTGTTTGGGCTTATTTTTTTGAGCAATTCAGAGATGGGCTTGTTGGTTGTGTTGTAGATCATTGTCTTGTTTGATCTGGAAAATGTTAAATGTGACAAAGAAAAGCAAAAACAGAACAAATCCTTTTTATAGCGTTGTGTTTCACAAATGTACACAGTGATAATAGTCAGAAACTGGATGCAAGTTTTTACATGCACACTGAATGTTCAATGGCAGCCGACACAGAAACCAAAAAAATAAATCGCGAGCCCTCTCCACACTTCCCAGGGCATCTCATTATCTCGACCCATGACTCCTCATTATCATTACATGTCCAGGCAGCAGAAAAGGGCACGACTGATTAATATTTCATTTCTGAGTATGAGAATGTGTTGCAGTGTGTTGCGTCTTGGGGACATGGAGAGTCTTATGTCGTGACTGGTGCAGAGACCAGCCGAGTAAATCATCAGTTTTTTAAAATAAAGACAGATCCAGCTAGAAATCCACCAAATAAAATACATCAACCACAAATTTTACGGTGATTTTTGGTGTTTTATGTAATATGCAGCTGCTTTAGGAAGCCTGTGTGCACTTTAATCTATTTATACATCTGTAATCACAGCAAAAAAGGGATTCATTCAAAATTTACCACTTTGTTGGTTGTAACAGCTTTCGACTGAATAAAAACAAGATATACTTACTCAGTTAGCGTTGCAGTTCACCGCCCAATGTGAGTCAGGTCATGACACTAAACTTATGCTGTGGTAACAGTTAGCTTGTTTTTTTAGTCTGGGGTTTATTTTGATAAATAAAGAAGTTGGTTTTGGAGTAACAATTTCTTGATAAATTGTTAATCTTGTAGTTCAGATTATGCATAAACTAAAGTTTCTTCATTTGTACTAGGAGGACAGTGAAGTAGCCAAATTCTGAGATTGTTGTTGATTATTTCATCAATTAAAAAAAATATGTTACATGTTAAACACTAATTATTTTGGGATGTATTTAATTCTTCTGGATTTGTTGTGTCATCCATAAAAGTGGGATTCAGTGGAATATGCAGGGTTATTTTAATAGTTCAGTTTGCCTAAAAATTGTAGTGGACGTAATTTATAGTTGCACTTACAACTATTCAAGACAGTATAGTTAGTTAACAAGTTGTTTCATAACTTAATTGAAATTCTATTTTCAATAACTAACTACCATATTAAATGATTAAAATCCCTTAGAAATATTTGTTTTTGCCAATCAGGGTTGATCTTTGAGACACCTCATATAACCAGTTACGTTAGGCTTGAGATCGAACATCTAAAGTCCCTGGATTGTTGACCAAAACATGTCATCTGAGATTTGCCTTTTACCATGTTTAAAGTTAAAGCAACAATTTCTATGCCATCTGGTGGCAGAAAGGAGTAGCTATCAATGGTTTCAACAAGATTCTTGAGGAGCCAGGTGGCCATAAACCCCTGATTGACAGAAAAATGCCATTAGCAGAAATTGCTGGCAGCAGCCGCTGAGCTCTTCAGCATTCTATGTTTAAAATTTTATAATATATGAAATGCTAAAGGCTCCGAGTCCGACCTTCAAGATGAGCTCTACTCCTTACCCAAAGCACAAAAAAGTCAGCTCCAGTTTGCTCACAACTACATATAAATAAACCAACAAGCTCTGAGGGTTTCTGTTCAACAGAGTGACTAATCAAAACAGGAAATGTTCACATCTGTGGATCAGCTGGTTGTCTGAAATAGGAAGTATGAAGCATATTCTGAAATAACACTAGCCCTACAGTGAAGCATGGCAGTGGCTTAGTGATGCTCTGGGGCTGCTTTTCTTCTTCAGGTACTGGAAAACTGCACAATGTGGAGGATGAAATGGATTCATTTACGTATCAAAAAATCCTGGACAATCCTGCATTGATCATAACGCTTTGATCTAATCACAGGACAACAATCCACCAAGACTTCACTTCAAATGAAGTTATGGAAGTTATAGAATGGCCATGACAATCAGTTGATTTGAACTGTTTTGAAAAAAAATGGCTGCACCACACCAGCCTGTTAATACTAATGAATTTCAGGCCTTTGTCCATGACAGCATTTCTCTGAAACGTTACCAGAGGCTGGTATCTGACTACAAATCACATTCGACAGAGGTCGTAACTGCAGAAGGGTTCTCTACTGTCAACCAAACGTGCTTGTCATAGAGGGCTTCAACAATGTCGATAACGCTTTCATCATTATGGTATTTTTTTTGTTGAATTTTGAGGAATAACGAACATTATAATGTTAGCTGTATCAATCAATTTTTGTTCCTTTTTATTTTTTGTTGCATATTTACCAAAATACATTATACAGAGTTGTTGAATAATTTTGGTTCCAATTCTTCATTAAGAGTCACTTCACAGTTGTAATGAGCCACTTGCTCTTTTTAATGGGTAGAAAAAGAAAAAGATCATACAGAATCAACTGTTCATTAGCATCAGAAATAGCCACCTGTTCTAATTAATTGGTCCCTTACAAATCCCACAGTGCCTAATTGCCTTTATTGAAATGTGTGTTCAGCCAGGGACTGTGAGTGCCATGGACTACGGGCTGGATCGAAGAACAGATCCTAATACAGACGAGGTAACAGGTGAGTCCCCACATGACCTACAGGATCATAATTCTTCTCAATCAGCTTAAACCCAGTAAGAGGCTTTAATGCATGAATGCAGCTGCATAAAATGATGCTTGCTTTCTATTTCAAGCCTATGTTGTCTGCTTACAGTATTGACTTCCATCTTATTGCTTGTCTTCGCTTTTGTTCTTTTCTCCTCTGCAGGCATTTTCCCATGGCTCTATTTTTTCAGCCCACTGGTTACACCACCAGTTTTTACCATAAAAACTTAAATAAATCTTAACTTCAAAAATTTGAAAAAACAAAAACAAAAAACAATATCAAATGTCTTGTATATATTCTTGTTCTCAGACACAAACACCTGACCATTATGAGAGAATTGTAAGTAGGATTTTCTCTCTTGTATTTTCCTCTTGCTTGTGTTATTGCTCAGCTATCATTGGTACTTTGTTCTGCCTCCTCTCACCTGTTGTAGATGATCTTCACCCAGCAGTCCATCATGAGGCCCAGAGTGAAGTCATCAGTGTCCATCGGCGCGTAAGACAGCCTCAGATTTATATTACCTCCACTCTGATACCCGCAAAAACAAATTCACCTTTTAGTTAGAGCTGATCCCTGAGCGTGCACCTCAGAATAATATATATGCTGTTATGACACAATCACAGTGTGGTAGCCTTGAAAAAAATAAAACATATTTAGAAAAAGGCCTACGTACGAAAGTTGTGCACGTTTGTCCTTAATATTTTTCTTGTTCTCATCTTATGAAAACAAGATGATTTTCCTTTTTTTAAGATAACAAAATTAACTTTTTAAAAAGATATTTGCCTAATTAAAATGCTTTGTTTTCGAACCATTTTAATTGAAAATCTGCTATTTTTCTTCCATTCAATTTATTCATGCTTTGCTTAACTGCACTTCTGCAGAGCTTTCTGAGTGGTCAGACAAGTAAATTGGTGTGAAGTATTTTCAAGGTTTTAAGGAGAAATCCTCTTATGCAAAATACAAATGATAGCGTCACTTAGGTTAGCAAAGTTTGATCTAACAGAAGCACATTCCCGCTGCAGCGATGTGCTTTCAACCACAGTAGAGATGTTTGGCTGTCATGCAGTGTGTTTGGAAAAAAACACACATAGACTCAAACATCTTATGCCAACTGTCCAGCACGTCAGTGGAGGGGTGATGAAATGGACCTGTGGTTGTTTTGTAACCACAGGACCTAGACACCTTGAAGGCACTGAATGAAGTTCTTTACCAGAGGATTCTAGAGTCAATATGAGGCCTTCTGTCTGTCAGATGAAGCTCTTCCTGAACAGCAAAATGAATCCAGACATAGCATCAAGTCTACATCTGCACATGGTAAAATATTATTTGTGATCACAAATCTACATCCAACAATGAATGTTATTTCTTGCATTGCAGACTGGTGAAGTACAGCGCCACCTATAGCGGTCACGATCCTTTTCTCTCCAAGTGTCTTCCCAGCAACCCATGGCTTACTGACGATACAACATATTGGACCTTGAACATGTCTAAGTGAGCCAGCCGACAAATGCATGTTCTCTAAAAGCCAGCCTTATTCGACAGTCTAATTTTCCTCCTCTGATTTTTCAATTTGTGCCACAGCGTGGAAATACCCACCAAGATGCGTGTCGAGAGGTGGACATTCAGCTTCAAAGAGCTTCTCTCAGATCCTCGAGGACGAGATGATTTCAGACTCTTCTTGAAGAAAGAATTCAGTGGTATGGACTATATTGAATGAGAATGAGCAAAAAAACTCCCCTAAAACATATTCAATGACTTGAGTGCTTGCGTGGTTTTCTTTTCTGGATGATTTTAGGAGAGAACTTGGCATTCTGGGAAGGCTGTGAAGATCTGAAGTGGGGAACTGCTGTCGCGATGAGAGAGAAAGCAGAGCAGATCTACAAGTAATGACTTTTTTGGGATCTACTGATTGGAATTTAGTTTGAAAGATTTTTTTTTTCATTTTCCCTACTGCATGAATTTCTGTAATTTTTCAGCTGAAAATTTATTCAAACTTGAGAAACATTTTCCAATACATTCTTAACCTTCCTTCTCCCATCTTTTTTCCAGGACATTTTTGGCACGTGGCGCCCCGCGATGGATCAATATTGATGGGAAAACAATGGAAATCACAGTGAAGGGGTTGAAGCACCCACACAGATACGTTCTGGACGCAGCCCAAACTCACATCTACATGCTAATGAAGAAGGTCAGTGAACACATCAGCAGTCAGGCCTTGGGATTGGCAATGTTCAATGTCTGCTTAACAGTTAGGCTCTGCAGTATGTTCACAAGAGTACAGAACCTGAGATAATTATATAATTGCAATAAGTAGCTGGATGTAGAAGTATGAGTTAATAAAGCAAGAGCAATACATTTGATGAGTAATATCTCATAAGGTAAATATAATTATAAAAAAATCTTTATATTATTTGAAGATAAAGAATAGATTGGCCTTTCTTTCTGTTGTTATTCCCTTGCAGGACTCATATGGGCGGTACCTAAAGTCTCCTGTGTTTAAAGAAACATTAAAGAAAGCCGTCTGTCCCGAAGAGCACAGATTCAAGTGAGTGACATCTTATAGATGTTTTTACATTTGATGTTCCATACTTGAAGAATCTTGAACTTCTATCCACTTAAACATGCTTTGGAAAATCATATCCATCACTCTCCGTTGTCTCCTGTTTCATTTCCCTCAGTGAAGTCCAGTTGGAGCAGAATGCCAGGAACAGACGGCCCAGTCTTAGCCCCATCATCATCCGCCAGCAGGAGCAGGAGCAAAGGGCCAAGATGGCCGCCAACGCCCCAGTTGACATTACACAGGTCATGAGCAAACTCAGCAAGCAGGGCAAGGAGATGGGTCCTCGTCATTCCAAGTGAAAACACCTCAAGTTCAGCAACAGACATGATTAGCATTTATGTTTTTTTCACTTGTTGCAGAGGTTTAGTTTGACATTAAATTAGTACTTTAATAAATATTCATTTTGATCTCAAAATGAAGGAAAATGTGAAGCTGTAGACCAAATTTAATGTGACTTATGTTCAAAAATGTTAGTTGTACAAAACCTTAAAAATAATAAAATAATAGAAATAGTAATATATTTTTGCTAAGCCTCCTAGTGACATATACTGAGCAACACTGAAAATGTTTTTTTTTGTGAGCAATCCAGTTTTAATCAAACTCAGATGAAAAGTTACACTTGTTAAATTAGTTTTATTATGCTATTATGCTGCTATATATATTGAGTAACAACAAGCATAGGACCAAAATCTATTGTCTTATCAGTCAAAGCTGCCATTGTTTCTCATAAAGTGTCCATCTTTTTCTGTTGTTGTTCTGTAGTGCTGCTCTCTGTCTTTTTTTGTCATCAGTCATAAGTGAATAAATCAAAATCACCTCATTTTTATTTGTTTGTGTCATTTACTGTGTTTCAATGTAATCAGTTTGTCACTATGCACGTTGTTAGGATTGGATTTATTCATTCCTTCGTTTATTCTTTCCTTCCTTCTGTCCTTTTTCTTTCCTTTTGTTTTTCCCTCCCTCCAACCCTCAGTAATATCTTTCTCTCCTCTATTCTTCTTTTTTCATTTGTTGTTTCTCCCTCTTTCTTCATCTTCTTGGATGTTGTCATCTTTCTTTCTTACTGTAATCCACTGTCCTTTTTTCTTCTTTCTCTCCTCCTAATGTCTCCTTGTCATTTTCTGTCTTTCCTTATATTGTTCCTTCCTTCCTCCCTTTTTTCCTTCCTTCCTTCATTTGTTTGTTTGTTCATTCCTTCTCTCCCTTCTTTGCTTTCTTCCTTTCAACAACTTGACTCAGCTCCTACACAATAACATATTTTAAGGTAATTAACCAGTGACTGTAATTTGTCTGTTTCATGAAATATTCAGCTGTAATAAGGTTTAAAACTATCAATTAGTATCAATATCTCTCAGTTGACTCTTGGTTGGTTGATTGAAATATACTGGACAGTAATATTTATCCAGATCCCACGCACTGACTTTCCCCAACCCAGATGCCCTCTGACTGTTGTGTCTTGCTCTCTGACCTCACAGCTGTGCCGCTTTACCACTCCTGTCCCACACCTCGCTGTCTACACTGGAATCCCTGACCCACCTTCTGTCACCGCCTCCCCCTCCCTCCCGTTCCTCGCGCACACCCCGGTCTGTCCGTCCCCAATCAGCGTGGCCTTAGACAGCACCTCGGCTTCCGAGCGGCGGCCGGAGGCCAGCGAGGGTGAGGGCAACACTGACGTTCGGGCCCCTGAGGGGAGAAACTCCTCCAAGTCTCGAATGGCTCTGTCGCTGCGCCGACTGCTGAAGAGAGGCTGCAGCCCCTCCGCCATGTTCGCCAGCCTGTCGCCCAAGTGCCGCACGGCGGCCGCAAGCAGCCGCATTCAGCCAATCACACCAGACGAGCCCAGCCAGGCTCCACCCAGAAGGATCGGCAAGTGAGTGGTGGCAAACGCTTAAGCTCTGATTAGACACTTTATGTAGCACAGTCATCAAAGTACAGAGTCCACAGGTGTGGTGCTGTCATTTAAAGAACAAAACAAGAGCTATAGGGACAAAATATAATACACACACTCTGTTTATTGCAATTTCAAGAGTAAGAACTTATCTTTAGTACCCTCCATGCTTCTTGGTATGTGTTAGAAACATTGTAACGAAACCATCCTTTGTCCCACTATGAAGCACTTCTTCAAGAGGATGTTCTGTATGAAGGAAAATTACAGTTAATGGCAACAAAAATTTCTTTGGTGGCTTTGTTTATAGAGACACTGCTATAGTCACGTGAAGATAATGAACACCTAATTAAAAATTCTGTTTATTTGGATCTAAACACCCAAAAATAACATTGTGGAGAATCGTTTTTCTGCAAAGTGCTGCTTGACATAACACAACAAAGCTTCAGACAAAATTACTTTTTCTATTTTCTTTTGTCGTTTCCCTTGCTATATTATTTTTGATTATGTCCTTGTCTCTTTTGAAGAAGATAAATCAGTGTAGATGAGCTTCAGACCTGGAACGACGTACAAAATCCTCCGTTCAATATTTTTCAGCTTCTTCCAGATCAAAGTAGACGTTCCTCCCGAGTGCCGGATCTACCCCATTGAGTCTGAGGATGAGGATGAGGAGAACAGGCCTGCATCTCAGGATGCCATGGGAACAGAGGAGATCATCTGCCCCTGGGAGAGTCTTACTCGACAGAACGGGACAGGCTAATTGGCTGGATTTATACAGGTGTAATGTCACAGGACTTTTAGGGTGGAATATGTGACACAAATACCAAACAACATCAAGACCTGCAAGAATCTCTCAGGCTGGGACACCAAATGACAAGAACCTTCAGCATGTGACCGCCTGCTGCTTTGAAAGGTTGTTGCAGAGATCTTCCATTGCTTACTCTGTTTTCTGTCAAACACCATGAAAGAAGTAGCTGCTGAACAAAAATGCTGGTGTTATCAGTCTGAAATATAAATTTTTGGAAGAGACATTTTGTAGGGAGGCTGCAGAAGTGGGGGTGGTCAAGATCAGACCACCAAGAACACTGTCCATAATCTGAACATTAAGACCAAACCGTTTTCCAGACGCAACCAGGTCTGTCTCTTGTCCCCAATCCTATTTTTGATGTTCATGGATTGGATGCGTGACTTAGTCTCATCTTTGCTTGTTCAAGCTAGGACCTCCAAGTCAAGAGACAGCTCCCGTATCTCTAATCCATGGGTCTCAGAAGGAAATTATGGATGAATTTTCCGGGCAGAGTCTATCTGTTCCTTTAGAGGCAGATGGGAGTGTTACTCTTGTCTGTTGTGGTAAGAGAAAAAAAAATCTTCTTTTATTTAATAATCGATTTACATTCCAACCTAAAATAAAATTAAAAAAAAAAGGTAAGAAGGTTTGTCTTTAGGGAGGAGATTAGAGCAGACTTGCAGCTGTTGAAGAGGTTTGCCTATCTGATTATGATTCTACCAGGAGACCTCCCCCTGCCAACATGTCAGCCATGTCCCACTGGGAGGAGACACCAGAAGACAATGGATGGATGCATTTTACCTTTCAACAAAAGCAGAGCTAAGCAGCTCACATGGTTTAGGTCCATAAGATGTAAAAAGTCAAAGTGTTCCTTTAGTTACAGCCTTACCAATAAGGACTGATGTGAGCCCCAGCTGAGCTCAGGCCAGAGGATGGTTTTAACAAGAGTCACCCCACCTGGGGACAGCAAAGTTTACCAAAGTTCGAGCGCTTTCACAGCTTGAACTTTAGCTTTCATGCTGGAACTTTACTCTGTAGCTCATGATGACCTGAAGCCCAACAGCAGCCTTAAACCACATCTCAGTTTGACCTGGGAACTTTCAATAAAGTAAGACAAAGACATTCAAGGGATTATCTTAAGAATGGCTTGGACAAAGAAGTCAAAAGAATAGAATAGAAAGATAGACATACATTTACTGACATTGTAGTGGCTGTAAAAGGACATTAATTCAACAATGAACTTAGTCTGAAACCCTCGGCGGAGAATAACCAAAGCAGACAGAGACCTGTAGACCCTGCTTCCACATGCTTGTTCAGAACATTAGTTCTGTATACTTACTAAGATGTTTTCTTGTACTGCAAGATAGATTTAGAAGCGTCTGTTTATTAAATGATCTATTTTGTGGGAAAAAACAAACAAACAAACAAACAAACAAAAAAAAAAAACGAGCCAGTTTGGGGTAAAGTGGGAGCACATGAACAGCTTGTCTACATACAGTCATTGTATGAAAAGGTACATCCTTTTAATCACAGGGTTATAAATAATCTGATAATTCTGTTATGAATTTTCTGGAATGTTGAGGATCATTTTGGCTTTTGATGAGGCTTACAGTTTCTGATATGGAGCTCTTGGGTTTTGGGCTCTTCTGGGTTTGATCAGCAGCTATCTTAAAAGTTTTTTTTCCCCACTTGGGTGTAATATCTCTGTTTATAGAATGATGGACTTTTAATGGTTGGAAAAGGCTTTATGGTCCTTCCCAGACTGATGGACAGTCACTACAGATATTTTTCTGCCTTGGCATCTGTATTGCAGAAACGTCTGCAACACAGATTACAATTTTACAATTGTTACAGTTTTGTAACAATTGTCATGGTAATCATTAGATTTAATTGCATCTTGCTGACACTTTTTCTTTTCACCTCCATGGACGAAGAAAAGGCGTGCTTAGTTTTTCAAACACTGATTTCATTATTGGATGTATTTATTTCATAAATGACAATGCTAAATCTGGTGTGTCTTCTTATAACCCTAGATTTAAAGAGGGTGTTCTTTCTTTTTACCAAGGAGGACACAGGTTGTAATTTTATATTTGGCTCCACTGCTATTTTGTACCCTCTGTGTAGCTGTTGTGTACCAAACACCAAACAGAACGAGATGTTTTATGGTCTCTTCTTTTGGGGAGGGACAGCAGAACATGATCTAACTAACTGAATGTATTTTCTTTATCATGTTTACAGATGCAAGAATGTGAAAAGTACCTTGAATTTGTTGTATTTGATATGTACATTCCATGGCTAGTGTCAAGTGCCTCAATAAAAAAGTGTCTTTTTAACTGTTTCACATGTAATTTGGGTATTTTGTCAGGTTACCCAGGTCTAGCCTTAAAGAACTATTGTTCTGCAACATTTAGATGCATCACAATGCAACTGAATGAAATGCATGTCTCATTACCAGGTGTCTGCATAGTTCAAATATCATGTAGATGATGAGCAAATTCAGTCATTTGATTCAAGACTTTGGAGCAAGAATGCATCTAAAAGTTACCGGAGGATCAGACTAAGACATCCCTGTTTTATTTTGTTTCAACTACTATTGAGTTGTAACGATTGTGTCTTACCACTGGGTGGCGACATAGAGAAGAAAATAAAAATATATGTTGTTGCAAACAAGGACTGTTCAGTTTAGTGAATAAAACAGAATTATTTACTGAAATCAATGTAGTTTTTGGACATGTTCCCCTTTTTTCTTTACATTCTGTGAATTAACAAGATCTTCACCTCATTTTATCATACAGACAAAGAGTTCCCAACTGTCTTAACCATTTTTTTTGTAAAAGTAACCCAATATGCAGACATATGTATCTGCGATCTATACACATGCCTGTTTGTTGAGATCACATTACTTCTGCTGTTTCAGATGTTACTGAGTGATGTGCAGAAAGAAGCACAGCATCACTGAGGTGACAGAACAAAGACTGGAGCAAAGCTTTGATCTGCCTCTGTTTTTTTTACGGCGTCTCTGAGCTCAACAGTCTGATTGCTCCTTTTCAACACTCGCGGTGGGACGTTCACACAAAGTCCACAGATGCATTAGTCCAGCAAAGAGACAGAAAAATCTCCAGGTGTTCAAGTGCAAAGAAGCACTTCTGAAGACACATTCAAATCACACATTTTTAGTTGCAGGATGAGGTAAGAAGAAGTATACATGCTTATAGGTAAATGCTGTATTTGTTTATAATCTCTAAATTTATTTGAAATTGTGCAAAAGGAAATAAAAGAAAGCAATCATTTAAGGATAGAGTCCTAGAACAAAAATTAAATCAACAACAATTTTAGATTCATGAAACAATTTGCAACAAGAATTAAAAGACTGATAGCAATACTATCAAATATAAATTAATCAGTTAGCTCCCCGTTTTTCTCCATCGAGTCCTGAGCTAAATTGCCTGAAATAAAATTTGTATTCAGTCATTTATTTACAACAATGAGAGAAAATGAAATCAATGTGAAGAACTTGGAATGCTTTTTGTCAGTTCCACACATACACACGTAACCCTATAAACACACCCACAGCAGATTAAGATTCAAACATTTTTTAAATGAGCTGTTTGTTTCTAATAACCTTTACAGTTGCATTACTTGTCGAAGTGTTACAAGCTGTAAACACTCAGCCATGGCCCAGGTATCTATTCTTATGCTTCTTTCTTTTCATCTTCCCCCTTCTTTTGCTTTTCCTATGTCAATTAATCTTTAAGAAAAGTCTGATTAAGTATCATATTCAAAGTTTCAGGGACTGACAACATCAAAAAAGAGTATTTAACAGAAAGATTTTGTGAATTTTCTCACCAGGGTTGATAAAAGATATTTCTATTACATTCTGAAAAATAATCAGAGGGAATGTTTCTGGAAAAATCTTAGAGCTTCTTGTAAGAAGAGAAGGATGTTTCATTTATTATTTGTATTTTGTTCACACTTATAGCCACATATAGTAAGATCCACATCACAACAGATTGGGGAAGGGCTACATTGTCATTGAGGTGGATTTCCTGCAGCCCAGACTCGTTCCTGAGACAAGGATGCAGCAGTATAGGAGTTGAACAAATTACATTCTCTACCGACACTTTGAAGAAAATATTTTATCAGCTGAAACATCTCTGGTTCAAATACTTACATAAGATTTAGAAAACATGTGGAACACAATCCAGCATTTCACCATCAAATATCAACTCTGTCGATACAGACTTGATGGTCGCTCTGCGTGACCTTGTCCTGACATGATGAATGACCAAATCAAAAGTGTAATGAAACTCCAGACGTTCTTCTGCTGCTCCCCTGTGATTTTCATCTATATACGTGTGTGTGTGTGCGTGTGTGTGTGAGCGCCCAGAACCTCCATCAGACTCACAGGTGACCCAATGTTTCTCCCCGAGTCTCCAGTGTTTGACGAGAAGAGGTAATTATCAGTGACCTCCTGCCTTATAAAATTTAACAGAGTGAGAAAGTGATCTGAAAGGATGAGCGAGAAGCAACCTTGAAACTTTAACATCATCTCGATGTCTCCTTACACCTTTTTTTCCCCTGGATTCTCTCCTCAAGCCACCAAAGTTCTTCTTGATCCCTTTTAATTCTGCCTCTGTGTCCCTGAGGACTTTGATCATTAAGTGAAAGTTGATGCAATTCTGCTGTAAACCAGCGTACATTTAGTGCCTTTCCAAATGATTTATATTCGTTAAACTTTTCCCAAATTTATTAGGTTTTAACCACGAACTTCAAAGGGGTCTTCAAAAGCTACTAAAGTTATTAGGGGTTATTCTGAACTTTCTCGGTAGTTATGCTACTGTATGTTTGGTCCTCCAGATATCTTACTAACTACATTTCCTTAGTCTCTTCTATTAAGCTACATTTGTGCATTATTATATTGTAAACACTGTAGCCATTCACAATTTTTTTCTACACTTTTTGCCAATTTACTTGTGCATACTTTGTTCTATTTCAACCATTCCACTTTTCCGGTATTATGCGCATTCACGACATTTCGACTATGTCTTTTGGTATTGACATTTTCAATGGTTCATGAAATATTCAGCTTTTTGGGATCATCTTGGGCCCAATTGAAATGAATGGAACATCCCAGAATTTCTGAAAAATTCTGCTGAAAACTTTGTGCTCTTTCACATCTAAATACAGCCACATGTTTTCAGTTACAAATGCCATTCAAATTTTAAAATGTAGCTACATCCTTCAACATCTTCACTTTATGTAAGCATTTATATATATATATCTGTTGCAAATTTTATAAAATCCCTCTTCAAGTTTTTGCTTGCATTATGCTCAGTCTTCAGAAAAACCCCCCAGAAACTTAGTTCTGCACAAATTTCTATCATGTTTTCACTTCAGTTTTTCTATTTGTGTTTTTTTAGGCTTTTGCTTTATTGTACTGCTTCTGCCTATTTCTTACATTTCTGCAAGTCTGTTGCAGCTTCACTTGAAATATTCAGTTTACAGCATTCAAACTGCATTTTCTGAACATTGCAAGAAATGCAATTTTCCTACTGGCATAATTTTTCTGTTCTCCTTTGTTTTTTATTTCCCATTGAGGTTATGCTTTGCATTCTTTCACAGAAATCTGCCTCATGTCCCTCAGAAATAAAAATTTACCTCACAAAACTGAAGCAAATTTAAAACAAGACCAAACACTTAAACTTATGCAAGCCTATCGTTTGTCTCTTGAGGAACGATATTAATATCTGACACATTTTGAAATGTCAACCAAACTCAAACAAGGTGCACAAGTACCTAATTTATTTATAGATCTGACACCTCTTATTTCTCTCAGGCTATTTTTGTTTTCAAAGAGAGTTTTTTCAGAGAGAGAGGGTGAATGAAGAGGGAAATGAAGACTGACAGACAGGTCAAATGCAGGAAAATGTGTGAGTGGGGCAGTGGCTAAAGAGATCAGTCTGCAAGGCCCCTGAGAAGTTGTTATTTTAATCAACACTTGGGGGGGGGAAATCCTTTAAGACGATTCTTCCACTTGTGACACATAAGTGATCAAAGACTCGTGCTGAGTGATAAAAATACCCCAAATGTGGGCCAATCACAATTCTGCATTCAGGCCTGATGGCTGCTTTCTAATATGGGCTTGTGGGGTTTAGTTTCTCTTCCTCCTCGCGTCGGCTTCCTTTGTGTTTTCAGATTCTCTCTCTATCTCTCTGTCCTCCTGTCTTAGTATTCACCTCCTGTCATGCAAATGTTAGTTCAATCTCTAGAGCTGTTTACTCATTGAGTGATGATTGCCTGTTCAAACATCTGTCCTCGACCGTGTACGCACCACCACACACATGAATGCTTCCACACATGCAAATGCTTTCTAGACATTGAGTGGCATCAGTCTCAATTTAAAGTCTAAACAAACCAGAAGGGTTTGCTCATTAAGTTATTTACATAACTCTTAAAAACAATTTACAGCAGAGCGGTGTGCTTGACATTTAGAGTGGATGATTTGTGAAGTGCACTTGTATTTATGCTGAGAGCATCCATACCTGTTGAACCTTTCCACATGAACTTCTGAATGTTTCAGTGAGTGCTGTTGGAGCCAAAAGCAGAAAGTACAGGATTTACTACACACCATGTACACTCATATGATTTCTGACAAAGGAGTCAAACTAATAACCAAAAGAGCAGTCACAGAGAGCTGCAGAAAGACCTTGAAAAGTAAAGTTGAGCTTCAATACACGCTGCTTTCATCTGCACTGGTCTCAACACACATTCAGTGCACAAGACTCCACTGTTGAAGAAAAGGCATTCTGAAAATCATTTGATCATTTGATTCACATGGTGAATACAGGGGAAATATAGTCTGGTCAAATGAGTCCAAAGCAGAACTCTTGACATCATTTTATCCACTATGTTTGGAGGAAGAATGGTCTAGGACAGGGGTGGGCACTCCTGCTCCTCGAGGGCCGGTGTCCTGCAACTCTTGGTTGTCTCCCTGATCCAACACACCTGAATCCAATAGCTGAATCACCTCCTAAATGCAATCAAGTTCTCCAGAGACCTGCTAATGACCTAAGTATTTGACTCAGGTGTGTTGAAGTAGAGATACATCTAAAAGTTGCAGGAGACCGGCCCTCGAGGACCTGGAGTGCCCACCCCTGGTCTAGGAAATCACCCTACAACTGTCAAGGTAAAAGTGAAGATGCAAGTGAAAACATGTTGTTGTGGGTTGTGGTTGTATTACAGCAAGTGGTACAAGCTGACCTCAGATAACTGAAGGAAACGTGAATGGAGAAACGTACCCGGACAACCTTAATAAAAACGGAAAGATGAAGAAAGTGT